ACAAGAAGCAAAATTAAAAGGATTTCAATAGGATTCAGCTGATTAGTGAAGGTTTCAATAACTCTTATGCTTAAAGAGTATCATACCATTAAATTTCTAACAAAAAAAATTATATATACACCAAAGTTCCAATATTTTCAACGATTTGACCAAAAAAGTCTTAAACTTTATTTTTTTGACAGTAAAGTCCTAATTGACGATTTGACAAGAAAGTCCTAAACTTTATTTTGTTGACAAAAAAGTCATAATTACCGACTAACCGGGAAAAAGGGTAAAAGTGTCAAAAACTGCCGGTAATTTGGACTTTACTATCAAAAAAATAAAGTTTAGGACTTTCTTGTCAAATTGATGAAAATATTGGGACTTTACTGTATATATTTCTAAAAATAACAACATATTTGCAAAAAAATTTCTAGAAACTTAGATGTCATGTCTGGAACTGCATAATTGTTAGTTTAAATTAATTTTACAATGTGTTTTAAAAATGTGTTTTAAAGATATGAAAAACGTTCTTTATATCTAGTTGTATTCATCTTCAACACCATCGTCCTCTACTTTTAAAGCACTTCTTAATTTTGCCGGTGTTTGTTAGCATCTCATATCCATCATTTTTCATATTGATTACGATTTGTTGGTATTTCTTATATAATAATAACATTTGTAACATGATAACGATAAGACTATATAAAAACTAGTTTGTTATGAATTAATTATCATGTCTTTTTAGTTAGCAGCCTATAAAAATCTCACACAAAATGGGTTCTACGCCACAAAGAGTTAATATGAATTATATCTTTTCATTCATACATAAACATTTGCCACTTCTTAAGACATTTCATGAAATCTCATTTTTATCCAAGAAAGAACATGAAGGGAAAATCTATCAAAAAGTTAACAATTTACCATTTTGTTATCGGAGAGAGAAGCACTCGAAGTCTTCATACAACCAAATCTCTCCAAAAGTTAATGTGCTTAAATCTACACAAAGTTTCTAGGGATAATGACTTGAAAGGGTAACGAACTTTCGACTTTTGTCACATTTAGTCACTAAACTTTTTTTCGTTATCTATTTGCCATTGAACTATTGAAATTGTTCACATTTTACCCTTATGACCGGCTGTTGCCGGTCATAAGGGTAAAATGTGAACAGTTTCAATAGTTCAATGGCAAATAGATAACGAAAAAAAGTTTAGTGACTAAATGTGACAAAAGTCGAAAGTTCGTTACCCTCTAAAAAGTTAAATGACTAAATGTGAACAAACTTCCTCTTGTATTATGTTTTAGCAAATTATTTATTTTTATTAAATTGTAGCAACATTTGTTGATGAAGAAATCTATGAAATAGAGAAAAAAAAAAAAAAAAAAAAAACACACAAAACACAAAACAAAACAAAACCCTGAAAATATATTTAAAAAAAAAAAACAAAAAACCAAAACCGAAATACAAAACCAATGGTTTGACATTTTCCAAAATAAAAAATCAAATTTTCCAATCTGATTTTGGTTTTACAAAAAAATGAACCATTCTCACTGATGTGAATTATGATCATTGGTTTGGCATTCGAAATTTGTGACATCTCATGAATATGTAGTTACAACATCGTCTGAACTCGTAATTCATAGTAAGGGGTTAGAGTATCATCGCATGAATACATAGTTACAACATCGCTTGAACTCGTAATTCATCACCTATAGGTTATGGGCATGCTGGTGTTTCCACTGTGTTGTCTAGAATAGTCCGTGATCGCCATCTATACTTTGGTAGATGACTACATCGCCACATTGCTGGTTAAGGTTATGGTATCTCCTTTCATCCTACATCACATATTCATCATCATCTATATACCTAATTATCATCACCTTTCTATCATCACATATATCTAATCATTTTATTTCATCACACACCAACTATTTCATCTACCCATGTTTCATCCGCAACATATTTGTAAATATAAAATAAATATACCGTTTAAATCTTTTAAAACATGTATAAAATCGTTCATCCAGCATGGATAACAAGTATTCAAATAATATGCACACATAACACGTAATTTATATAAAATACTTCATATCTATGTGTAAGATGAAAGTAACTATATCTACCATAAAAAGCCCATAAATGCTTCCTAACTTCGAACCCCAAGGTTTACTCTACTAAAGCTTCATATTCTTGGCTCTCTGAACCTAGAAGGGTCCAGATCTATCACACCAAAAAGCTCAAGATAGCTCTTCCTCTCACTCTACACACTCAAGCTCGCTAGGGTTCTCACTTATGGGAAATGTAGTGGCAATTGAAGGCCATACGTGCCTTTAAATATGGCTCGGGCCCAAAGATTTAGGGTTTCTGCCAACAGCGTAGACTCGTCGAGTCGCCTCACCGACTTGTCGAGTCCATTCATTAATCCGAGTCATCAGTCGCGACCTTACTCGACGAGTTGAGGCGTCAACTCGCCAAGTCTCTCTTCTTAACTCAAAAGAAAAATACTTAAATTATGATACCTGGAAATCCGGATGTTGCATTTTGTTTTTTTATTTCATAAATTTCTTCATCAACAAATGTTGCTACAATTAAACGGAAATAAATAATTTTGCTAAAACATAATACAATAGGAAGTTTGTTCACATTTAGTCATTGAACTTTTTAGAGGGAAACAAACTTTCGATTTTGTTCACATTTAGTCACTAAACTTTTTTTCGTTATCTATTTGCCACTAAACTATTGAAACTGTTCACATTTTACCCTTATAACCGGTAACAGCCGGTCATAAGGGTAAAATGTGAACAGTTTCAATAGTTCAATGGCAAATAGATAACGAAAAAAAGTTTAGTGACTAAATGTGACAAAAGTCAAAAGTTCGTTACCCTTTCAAGTCATTATCCCAAGTTTCTACTTAGATATGTCCGCGATGCTAAATTCACAAAAAAAAAAATACTCACCTCAAACAAAATAATTGTGAACCTTTAGCAAACACAGTTTGATATTCTCTACAGGGTCAAAAACATAGTTTATCGCATATTCTATCATAAAATAGAACAAAGTTTTTATTTTTATTTACTATTAATTTAATTTTTAATAGATTTCCATATAAATTATTGTAAAAAACAACATATTTGAACAAAAAAAATAAAATAAGAACTAATGTTTTAGTTTTTTAGTTCTATGGTAGAAAGAAGGAATGTACCATGGATCCAAAAAAAATTAAGCTTTACACTTCATATAATCAAACAAATACATATCATGTTTTTTTATAAAGTCACATACAGACACTCTTACAAACACATAGTCATCATACGTGCTTAAATACACTAAGCACATTTTTTTTCTAAAAATCCAACCATTTCATTTATATAGTAACACCAGAGCTTTCGTAATGAGGTATTCTTTACCTATGTTGCAACCTAGATTGCAAAAGTAAAGAGTTGGTGGGTTGAAAACATCAATCCAACCCAACCCATATAACCCGTATAAGTATATGGGTTCGTGGGTCGAACCCAACCCGTATAACCTATTTAATAAGCAGCACATTTTAAAATGAAATTAAAAAAATACAAATAAAATGAAATCATAAAGTCTTAAATATTTAACATAAAGTCATAAACATAAAGTCATAAATAGGAGTGACGATGATAAGTGGTGTGCGCGCGACACTGTGACAGTCGATGACTCGATGCCTCAATCGATGAGGATGAGAGACACAGAGTCGTGAGTTTGAAGATTAAAGACTGAATTTCTTTTTGAATAGGGGATTCTTAGGGGCTAGGGCACGCTAATTCAACTCGAAGATGTTTTGTAGTTTTGGAATTCAGAAAACGATTAAACGATGATCAAATATTCAAAAGTAATAAATAATTAGATATATTTCTTAAACATAATATATATATATATATATATATATATATATATATATATATATATATATATATAATCGGGTTGGTGGGTTGACCCACGGACCTAAACAGATAACCCAACCCAACCCATGAAATAAATGGGTTGGCGGGTCAAAAATCTCAACCCAAACCCGTTTATTTTTGTGTTGGGTTAGTGTCGGATTGCGGGTTGGGTTGATGATTGCCACCCCTAGTCAAAAGTAGCAATAAAAAGTAACTTTTTTCTCTACATCTACAAAAGTCGAAAATGATCTTTTTAAAAAATTTGTTCCATGCTTGTTCAGATGTAAGAGTTGGACGACATCAAAATGATATTTGAATGCTATAATTGAAAAAAAGTAAAACGTTATAATCAACACCAAAAAGACAGTTGAATTCTATAATTGTAAAAATGTTATAATCGATATTTAAAATGAATGTTAAATGCTTTAATTTAAGGAAAAATGAAAGTAAATTACTATAATCTGACACTAATATGAAAGTTGAATGCTACGATCGAAACAAATTAAAAAAAAAAAAACTATAATGGGCATTGAAATAAAAGTCGAATGATATGAATGGCATTGCAATAAAAGTAAAAAATGATATTTGGAGGCAATTCATATTTAAAATTATAATCTATTTTTTTCCCACTAGTTCACTTTAGTTATACTATGACTTTAAAACCATTTATAACATTTCCATTTTTGCTAATTCATTTAATTTTACTGATCAAACATAATTAAAAACAACTCATTTTAACCAGAATTGTAGCATTTTGAAGTCAGCACTATATACACACTTTACTGTAGCTAGGGGTGAGCATAATAACCGAAAAACCAAACTATAACCAAATTAACCAATATAACCGAAACATTATTGAAAATAGTGGTGCGGTTTTTTATTTTTATTAACCGATTGCTAATGGTTGGGTTTTGGTTTTTCTGAGAAACCGAACCATATATAACCGAACTGAACCGAACCTATTAGGATATATAAATTTTAAAATTATTTTATATATTATATAATTGGTAATTATTTTATTGTATAAGGAAATAAAGGAATTTAAGGCCTTTATATTTGAATGAGATATGCAATCTCTCTTCCTAGTAAAAGACTCTCTAAGGAGCCACATGTTATACTTTCTACACCTTAATTTGCCATGTGGCATTATTCTATGCATCGGGTTTTCATTTTCCCGCTCACTCAAAAAGCCTTTGACAAAATCCAATATAATCCATTTCAATTTCAATTTGAATCTTTCCTGTGTTAGTATTCGAAAAATCAGGCACCTAATTGATCATTCAAATTCATATTTTAAATCCAAAAAAAACCCAAAATGTTAGCCTAAAATTTCGTCAATCGGTATCCCCAAATTATAGCGTTTTGTTTGGTATGATTTCACCTTCTTATACGATTGCAACTCCACCTCCATCCTTTTATTTATTTTTTCGGTTTCTTGATTTGTTGCGCCTCCACCCACAACCAATTGTGCTGCTAATGGAAGTTGTTTAACCCTAATGTTGATTCAAAACTGGTGATAGCAACGACACTCCAACCAAGGGTCGAAAGGGAGATATGACAGGAGTACGAAGTTCGAAATTGGGTTATGCAATTTCATCCATGAATGGTACGTATGAGATACCTACTTATTTATTTATTTTGTGAAAACTTTTAACTTGATTTTATTATAACGATTTATTTAGGTTTGGAAGTAACTATTGTCTACATTTGATTGTTCTTCTGTTTCTATTCTATCTACTTCAATGTACATGAATTTGATTTTAAATCTTTGAGGAAACGTAGAAGGTATTTGTTGTTAAGAAAAATGAGGATGTTAATTTGGTATTCTCTATAGATTTTAGGTTTCACACGCATCATAAGTACATGAACAACCATTCAAATTAGGTTTTGACAATTTTTATTTGCTCCAATGAAATTATCCTTCCTTTTGTTTTATATTGTGATTCTTAAATGTGGTTATTACTTTAACGAATTGATGGTGATGAAGGACCATCAGGAATCAATGGGCGTTTACAAAGATGTCATTTTGAAAATGCATTCCAAATGTGAGCCCCCACCTAAAAAAGACATTGGTTTTGTTTATATGATGATTAAGTTCTGATATGTGATTGGAGAAGTGTGTTTGTTCTCTACTTATCTATTCATTAATGATTTCATTGAAATGAAATTATATGAGGATTATAATTATCAGTTTAGGTTGTTCGTCAAGAGTTGTTTATGGTTATAATTTTCAAAACATTTGGGACTAAACAATATGGTTTGGATAAGTAGGTAATTTGTTGAAAGCTTTGATTGTTTTTGTTGTGCTGTGGGGCTTTATTTCGCTCCAACTCAATGAACTCATAAAATAACAATTCGTCCATTTTTAGTCCAAACATGTTTATAATATGTTTTCAAGTTCATTGATAAGCTCATATAATTTCTTTCATCTTTTTTTTTTATTTTTTTTATATATATTGAGTGATTTCATTTTTTACAAATTCTTAGAATGTGATTATTTTTCTTTAGGTTTTTGGTTCCTTATGTGATTAAGATGAACCCATTTGGTAGATGTTATGGTTTAATGCCCTGAGTGTTTTTCTTTTTTATATTTAAACCCCATAGCTTGTGGTGATGATTTAGAACCATAGTGTAACCGTGGGGACAAGAAAGATAAAAAAAATATTAAGATTTAAGCCTATATTTGGGTATTTCTTGAAAATTGCCACCCAAAAATAGCATTATACTTTTAAGGTACAAGGCTATAATTGGGAGGGTATATGTTGAAAACCGCCACCCAAAAATAGCAATTTACTTTTAAACTACAAGTTTTAACAAGTAAAAATTAAAATAAATGTGAAATGGTTTTGATGCCACCCAAAAATAGCATTTTATACTAAACATCCTCTTTCATTTATTTTATCATTACTTTTAAGCATGTTAGTGACGGTTTTGCCCTTGTGTGTTGCACACTTATGTTGAGGGTGGTTATGGTTGATCTTCACAGTTAATGCTTAATAGTTCATGGGATGTGCATTTGTTGGTTTGCTCTTACTTTCTTCTAGCTGTTGGTGAGTTTTTTTTAGCTTGGTGGACGGTTTTGCCCTTGCTTCTTGTGTGATTGTCATATTTTGCTTTTCTTCACAATTTTTCATTTTAGTTTAGTTCCGTGGGATGGTGTTTCTGTTTTTGTCATGGTTAGGCTTAGTTTCCTTTTTGTGGTTTTTTTATTGTAGTTCATGTTGATTTGTTTAGTTTGGTTTCTTGTGTCATGTATTGGCTTTGGTTGGTTGCTCTTTTCCTTTGTATTCATGTTTGTTTTTCCAGCTATCTGTTGGCCTTTATATCACTGTTATGTTTTGTCCTTTTTGGTTAGGTGGCTTGTGTTGGGTCGTTTTTTTTTCTACTTGAGATGGGGGAAAGAAACTCTTGAACCGAAGAACTTGAAGCTTCATATTCACTGAGTTTTGTAAATGGATATTGTTTGGATTATAAAGGTCGCAATAGAGGTTATGACATCATACTTTGATAAATGAATATGTTTCAGAAATTGTTTTTCCATAAAGTGCTTTTAGTTTTTTCATTTATAGCATCATATGTTTGTTGTAACAGTTTTGAGTTATGACAAAAAAAAATTGTTTTTCATTTATAGAATCATACTTTTATGTTGTAACATTTTTATAACAAGAACTTTTTTTTTACTCAAAAGGGAAAAAATGACAATGTACTTTTGTTATTATCTTATTATCCTCATATTATAGCATCATTTAAGAGTTTCATAGTTGAAAAGTTGTTCTGACTTTTTTGTCTTGGTTGAAGTATAATTTATTTGTTTTAAGTGCTATACATGCATTGAGTTTGGTAAATGGATATCTTTTGGGTTATGGACCTCACAATAGAGGTTATAGTATCAAACATTGGAAGTCATACGATATTCTGTTTTAACAGTTTTATAACATGAAGGGTTTCATTTAAACAAACTTGTATTTTTTTTTAATAATGGTCAAAAAGTTTTATCTCTTTAATTTTTTCATTTATAGAAATTGTTTTTTGTTTCAACGGTTTTATAGCATCATAATTTAACTTTTTAAAAGGCTAAAAAGGTAATGTATTTTTGTTATTATTTTATTATTATGATATTATAGCATCATACTTTCATGATATTATAATATTTTTTTTACTATAGTTTAATTATTTATGTTTTTCCAATATAGGATTACATAATCATAACATTTTTAAAGAGTCTAAGGTAAGTGGCATTTGTTGATATCTTTTATCTCGTGTTAAAAATTTACTCAAAAGGCATAATTCTCCTTTTATGTTCTAAAAGTTATATATTGCACTTTTTTAAATACGATTTTAGCATTTTTAAATTAAATAAAGACCATATTACCCCTACTGTTAACTTACTTATACTTTTCGTATTTTTGTATTTCTACTTATTTCTTATTAACGTCATATATCAATTTTTAATAATTGTTTAAACAATTCAAATTTCAGTTTTTCCTATTAGAGGCATATTTTTTATAGAATTATTTTCTATTATAGCCCCATACTTTATATAATGATTTCTTAACTGTAACAATGCCATAAAATGGAAAAAATACATCTTTGTAACATATACATACCAAACTATGATGTTATAAAATGTAAATAGATGTATGTAAGTTGCTGCATAATTGTAGTACTTCAACCACTAAAAAGATACTCACATGTGTATATGGTATTTGTTTCACAAACTAAAATTGATAACACTATTTAACATAAAATCGACTTCAAATTTCTTTGTTTGACAATAGTCTACAAATTTTATTTTAATTGCATATTATTTTTTTCATTTTTGTTATGAGGACAAATTTCACTTTTTCAATTTAATGTAGAAAAATAACATACGACTTAACACCATCTATCTTACTACTATAACACTGACACATGTTATTATATTAATAATTAAGTTATAATTTAATTAAAATTATTTTTAAATTTCTCATCCGTGGAGTTCACGGGTTATAACCTAGTTAGCGTATTAAGCACACAACAATTGAACAAGTCAACAAACACTATCATATTACCGCCGATTCTCCCTCATTATCGGCTATCCCACGACGAAAAGATTTTGATACTCAGTTAGGTGCTGTTTGTTTTTTGGAAAAAACCTCTTCAAACCTCTTACTGCTGCGCGGCGCAGCACACGCGCAACACTTTTCATCTCCCAGTTGTTTGTTTTTTAGAAGTCTTCTGAGTCAAAAACATCTGCGCGTGCTCTGTTTGGCGCAGCACTTGTACTGCCTCTTCCAACCTCTTTTTCTTCTTTTTTTATTGCTGAAATTTTGATTATATGTTATTAAAATTTTATTTCACATTTTTTTCCCTTTTTTTTTTTCGTTTATTCTTATTGAATTTATTTTTCATTTTTTTATATTCAATAATGATAATTTCTTGATGAAATATTATTATTTTTTACTGCAAATATCTTTATTTTTTTGTTGAAATATCATTCTTTTTTACTGAAATACCATTATTTTTTACCAAAATGTTATACATTATTAAATTTTACGTATTAAAAAGCTATTTTCGGTTTATAAAATTAGTTTATTTTTAATTTTTAATATCTTGCAGCAGTATGCAGATGTTAAAAAAAA